TCATGCCTTGCATGGATCTGCTTCCTCTATCCCCGCTGCAGCCCCACCGCCCAAGGACATTGGGAACGATTTGCGTGAACATGCTCCTGCTCATGTCACTCAAGCCGATCAGCAGAAGCTGGCGGCTCAAAAAAGAGCGGATGCCGCTGCAAAGGGCAAGGCAAAAGCGAAGGACAAAGCGAAGCAGGCGAGATTCATTTGGGGCATCGGTCTTTGAACCAGCCTAGCTATGACTTCTCGTCAGGTGTACGCTCTGAAGAAGAACACCCGGCCGGCTAACGACGGTACCAAGAATGTGCAGTGGGCCGTGATGCGGAGAACGGAGGCCCCTTGGACTTGGCTGGTTCAATCTCTGTCCGTGTTGCATCCGCTGCAGGGTACCACAGAAAAGCAGCTCTTTCAGACAAAGGACAGAACTTTGCCGGTTCATGCATCTCACGTGCCAATATGCAAGCTTTGCCTGGAACTCCAGGACATGGATATCTCCACGCAAATCATGCAACAGCTCAACGATAAGAAAATCACGGAGGAGGAAGCAGTCTCGAAATCACATGCCTGGAAAGTCTCCGGAGCTCTGCCTTGAAATCCGATGACTGAGCAAGCGGCCCCTGTGCTGGAGCCGGCCTTCCAGATCGGTATATGAACCGGGCCGACATCGCAATGGTGTTTCGATACGTTACTTCTGAGCTACGGTCAAAATCGTCCTTTGCTTGCTCCACTATGTCCGTGCTTACATGTGTTCTGCAGCCAGCGTCTGTGCAGGTCGAGATGCCGAACTTGCCTCCGGCTCCCTGGCTGCTGCGCCATCGGCCCCCGAGTGACCCATTGTTAGTGTGTCGTTTTCAATTCAGTGTTGACAGACGCACACTTCCGCAATGTTCATTATGCTCAATGCAGCTTGTGTGGATATCTGTGCATGGACAATGCCGTACGTGCCCAACGTTGGAAGCCTGTCCCGCTTCTTGGAGAAGCTGGATGTGCTGCAGCTTCGAGAGCTGCACGGGTTGCTCCACCTTGGCATTCCATGGGTCGATCACTTAGCTGCCATCCGTGTGATTCGGATAGATACTTCTGCATTGGAAAGTCGTACTGCCTCAGGTCATCCTTGAAATGACCTTATACCTACTCATCCTGCAAAACATGGAGAATGGGCTCATTCAGGCTCTCGATGGCTGAGTGTCTGTAGATCTTTCTTTCATGTGTGTGCCGATTGCCTTCTGCAGGACCTCCCCGGTTGCTTGCAGTGTGTGGAATTCTTTGCTGGTGTGGCGTCCATAGCTACGGCCTTCTCTGCCCAGGGATACAACGCCAAGGCAATGGACTTCAATCGTTGCCTGTAATTCCAAGACGCATGATCAACTGTGCCACGCAGCTGATCCTCTTGCTGCTGATGTAGTTTGGCCACTCAGGTTCTCAAATGCATGATATGCTCCACCCTCCCGGCATCGTTCTCTGCTTTGCTTCCATCCTGGCTCTGGAGCCAGGAGGGTTGGCGCACTTTGCCACAGTCTGCACCAGCTTTTGCTGGACCAACAGTGGAACGCATCAACGCACTAGTTTCAATCCTTTGGGCGACGAAAGTAAGGAGTATATACGTGAAGGCTCACAACTGGCAGAGATTACATCTGCTTTGATGCTTTTGGCCTGGTGCAAGGGTTGCTGGGTTACGCTGGAAAATCCAAGATGCAGCAAACTAGAGATCTACCCATCCATCCAAGCAGTGGTGCAATTCCTGCTTGACCGAGAAGCTGACGGCTTTGAAGGAACAGCCCTTCTCAGGCATCCCATTTGTTTGGGTGATTTCGGGGCTCCGTCCCAGAAGCCGGTTTGGCTTTATTCTACATACGACCTTATGTCCACCTTCAAGGAGGCGGCTCGAAACGGTTCGCCTCGCAGATCACGCAGTACCGATGACGGTGTAACGATCCGGTGTCCTGGTTGCAAGTGATTTTCTGGATGCGATGAACCATACTTGTTGACCTGCCCCAGAGGTACAAAAACGCGGTTGGACTGGAAAAGGTCCATGGAGGACCTGGCCTCAAAAAGAGTCAAGAATACCCAAAGAGGCAAGTGCTGCAACTCACCTACCTGATTATGCTTGTTGCTCAGTACTGCAACTAACGCCGATTCTGCATCCGCACAGGTTTGGTCAGGTCTTGGCTGGCTGGTGGGTGAGCCATCGTCGTGAAACGAGAAAGCAAGGGACACTCTTCATGTTAACTCCTGTGGTGTTATATCTGCATTGTGCAGTGAATCCCGAACTGCTCTAGGATGAAGCGGCGAATCCAAGCTTGGAAAGCTAGTGGAGATCTATCTCCCCAGCAAATGAAGGCACATCCATCCACGCTTCCAGCGACCCTATCCTTTAGATTGCACGTCTGTGTCTGCAGGACCAGATCCTGGCACATGCGACAGACACAGCGCTGGACTTCGGTTTGGGCGGTGCTTTGCAGTGGTGCCGTTCTGGGCTAAGTGATGGCCTGTGACTGCTGTCGCATGGATTCGAAAAAGGTTTGTGAAAACAACATGGTTCCAGCCGCTCTACTATACGATCACTGCCGCAGCTGCTACCCGTGACTTACCCGTGACTTGAATAACCGCTGGGACTTATATAACTCTAGCGCTACCGTGACTACCCGTGACTACCCGTGACTTACCCGTGACTTACCCGTGACTTGAATAACCGCTGGGACTTATATAGCTCTAGCGCTACCGTGACTACCCGTGACTACCCGTGACTTACCCGTGACTTGAATAACCGCTGGGACTTATATAGCTCTAGCGCTACCGTGACTACCCGTGACTACCCGTGACTTACCCGTGACTTGAATAACCGCTGGGACTTATATAACTCTAGCGCTACCGTGACTACCCCGTGACTACCCGTGACTTACCCGTGACTTGAATAACCGCTGGGACTTATATATCGCTACCGTGACTACCCGTGACTTACTCGTGACTTGAATAACCGCTGTGACTACTATAACATTACTAGTATTACTACTATACTGCTACTACTACTACTACTACTACTATACTACTACTACTACTACTACTACTCCTACTACTACTACTACTACTACTACTACTACTACTACTACTACTACTACTACTATATACTACTACTACTACTACTACTACTACTACTACTACTACTACTACTACTACTACTACTATACTACTACTACTACTACTATAATACTACTACTACTACCACTACTACTACTACTACTACTACTACTACTACTACTACTACTACTACTACTACTGCTATACTACTACTACTACTACTACTACTACTACTACTACTACTACTACTACTACTACTACTACTACTACTACTACTACTACTACTACTACTACTACTACTACTATACTACTACTACTACTACTATACTACTACTACTACTACTACTACTACTACTACTACTACTACTACTACTACTACTACTACTACTACTATACTACTACTACTACTACTACTACTCCTACTACTACTACTACTACTACTACTACTACTACTACTACTACTACTACTACTATATACTACTACTACTACTACTACTACTACTACTACTACTACTACTACTACTACTACTACTATACTACTACTACTACTACTATAATACTACTACTACTACCACTACTACTACTACTACTACTACTACTACTACTACTACTACTACTACTACTACTGCTATACTACTACTACTACTACTACTACTACTACTACTACTACTACTACTACTACTACTACTACTACTACTACTACTACTACTACTACTACTACTACTACTACTATACTACTACTACTACTACTATACTACTACTACTACTACTACTACTACTACTACTACTACTACTACTACTACTACTACTACTACTAGTACAGGTTTGCCGATCCTCCGGCCCCTAGCGCCAGGGGTGCCGTTCCTCCGGCCCTGCTCTTCTACTAGTACTAGCACTACGAAAACCTACGCAGTGTCACAACCATAACCGGACCATAACCACTATACGTACCGTCCTGGATGCCAGGACTGCATAACCGCTATATTTACCGTCCTGGATGCCAGGACTGCAAAGATCTACTTGCAAAACTGATAAACTATTTATGTGCTGTGTATGCAGAAGCTGAAGCCCCGAAAGCCCAAGCAGTGTTTGCAGAAGCTGAAGCCCCGACAGCCCAAGCAGTGTTTGCAGAAGCTGAAGCCCCGAAAACCCAAGCAGTGTTTGCACAAGCTGAAGCACCGAAAGCCAAGCAGTGTTTGCAGAAGCTGTAGTAGTAGGTGAAGGTTTGGCTGCTTTGCGCCACCCCTCCGGAGGCAGAGAACGGCCGTTGGCACCTCGCCACGCCACACAAGTTCATTAACACCCTTTTCGTACGGCCAGAAGCTGAAGCACCGATTGCAGAAGCTGAATCACCGAAAGCCAGGCGGTGTTCGCAATGCTGCAGCCGGTGGTGCTCGAGATTTTGGATCCCTTGCCTCCAACACCATGAAGAAAGGCTTCTTGCTGCCGAAAAATGATGCGAAGACCGAGAAACCCAAGAAGACGCGGCCACCCGAGAAGACCGAAAAGGATGATGCTCTTCAACAGCCGGCGGTCTCGAGCTCAGCCGCCGCCGAGGTTCCGAAGATCTATACCCAACCAGAGATCAACCACTTCGTGAAGCAGCTGGAGGTTATGAGACGTTGGGGATCCGACGACTTCACCTATATCACGGAATCGGGAGAAATCTTCGGCAAAGGAGATCTGGAAGAGATTGTTCGTCGCTATGGACGATAGATCGCTCTGTGCACCCGCGGCGTATGAAAATTGAATTTCCTGCCTTGGTTGGCTGCCCCAAGTTGCTCAAATGTATTGCTTTAGGTTGCTGCTCGCTTGGATCTTTGCATTCCGCTTTCTGTTGCTGCGTGTTGGTCAATGTCAGCATGGCAGCATCTTTTGTATTCAAGGTGTTTGGGAAGGGGCTCCCGTAGGCGGCCCTGGAATTCCAGGGCATGGCGAACGACCCCATGCGAGTGAAGCTGGAGCAGCTTGACGCTCTTTCGGGAGAAGCCGAGAACGACCCGGCGAAGTTCGGGCGGCTTCTGAACACCGCTATGAGGGCGGGGGCTGCTGCTGGCGGAGTGGCTGGGCAGGGCTTTTCGGACACCTTCCTGCAGGACCATTCGGGCTCAGGGAACTGGAAGAAAAGCAAACAAACATGCTGCCGCCTATCTAGGACACTCAGCAGACGGAGGCCACGATCGACGCGCAAGAGGAGCAGGACCTGATGAAAGAACTCGAGTCTCAGCTCTACGGCTGCGAGATGGACATCTCCTCCCAGGACTTCAATCCCGCCAAACCCATCCTGTTTCCGATACGCGCCATATCTGTTTCCAGGACGCCCAGCCGACCCAGTACGATCTGCCACCTGCTGACTTGCAGACAGAAGGACATCCATGACTCGCGTTTTGTTGCAGCTTCAGTGTGCACATGTTCTGGTTTGTTTCGATCACAGGTACAAAGGATGGCTTTGATGCCACGTTGGAGCATCTCATGCGTGAGGTCGGGCTCGAGGAACGCGAGGATGATGCGATCAGAAAATCTCCAAAGCGAGAGCTTGAAATTGATTTTGCCAGGGTCGCCAAGGAACTGGAGGATGAAACCATGTTGGCCAAGGAACATGAGGAAGCTGAGAAAGCCAGCAGAATGGCGAAGGAAAGGGAGGAAACTGAGAAAGCAAGGTTGGCCAAGGAAAAGGAAGAAGCTGAGAAAGTAAGCAAAATGATCAAGCAAATGGAGGAAGCTGAGAAAGGCAGGTTGGCCAAGGAAAGGGAGGAAGCCGAGAAAGCCATCAGAATGGCCAAGGAAATGGAGCAAGCCAAGCTGGCCAAGGAAAGGGAGGAAACTGAGAAAGCCAGGATGGCCAAGGAAATGGAGGAAGCCAAACTGGCCAAGGAAAGGGAGGAAGCTGAGAAAGTCAGGATGGCCAAGGAAATGGAGGAAGCCAAGCTGGCCAAGGAAAGGGAGGAAGCTGAGAAAGCCAGGATGGAAGGAAAGGGAGGAAGCCGAGAAAGCCATCAGAATGGCGAAGGAAATGGAGGAAGCCAAGCTGGCCAAGGAAAGGGAGGAAACTGAGAAAGCCAGGATGGCCAAGGAAATGGAGGAAGCCAAGCTGGCCAAGGAAAGGGAGGAAGCTGAGAAAGCCAGGATGGCCAAGGAAAGGGAGGAAGCTGAGAATGCCAGGTTGGCCAAGGAAAGGGAACAGTTCAGGCTGGCAAGATTGGCCAAGGACAAGGAGGAGGCCGAACATATGAGATCGGCCAAGGACAAGGCCAAGGAAAAGGAAGACGCTGATAAAGCCAAGGTGGAGGCCGTGCGACTTGTAAGAAACTAAGAAACCTTAACCCCTAAACCATAAGTATAAACCCCATAACCTAGAACCTCAACATTAAACCCGAAGCCTTAACTCCCTAAATTTTATACAACCCTAAACCCCAAAGCCTAAATCCGCCACTGTCAGGTCGACATGGCAACACAGGCGGCAAAAAAATACCAGGCTTTGCCGATGAACGCGACAAAGTTGCAAAAGCTACAGCTCTTGCAGGACATTATGGCTACTGGGGATGAGGGTTGCAAGCAGTTCTGCAAGGATGAGCTTGCAAAACTGATCAAGCCGAAGGCAGCAACGCCAGCTCCGGCCCCTACCAGTGATGCCGATCCTCCGGCCCCTACCACCACGGGTGCCGATCCTCCGGCCCCTACCACCAGGGGTGCCGATCCTCCGGCCGCTACCACCAGGGGTGCCGATCCTCCGGCCCCTACCACCAGGGGTGCCGTTCCTCCGGCCCCTAATCCCCCGACCTTTGATGATGTCAGTGCGAAGATGGGTTGGTCAAGTCCTGCAACCCCACGCATGGTGGAGGCACCTGGTACGCCATCTCCTGCAACGCCTGGCAGTGCAATCACAACGCCTGGCAGTGCAAAAACAACGCCTGGCAGTGCAAGCGACGGCTTGGTCCAAGGTTCTGCGCCACTCTACAACCGAAAGAACGCCGCCATGTTCTTGAATCGCCTGAAAGGCAACCCAAAGAGGATGCAAGCCTTGCCTGATGACTTGGCAAAGTTGGTGCGGGACGAAGATTCAAAGAGCAAAGCCATCGACTTGATCGTCGCTGCAGGAGGAGACGAAAATGAGCTGGTCGGGCAGTGGACTGCATCGTCCATTTCTGTGGGGACGGACAAGGAAAAGGGAAAGATGAAACCTTTGACGGAACAGGAATTGATCGGCAAGTACGGTGCGGTCAATGCTGCGAAGGTGATGGAGGAAAAAAGGAAGGCTGGTTTGGAGGTTGATGATCCCAATTGTAAAGGGCTCAAGCTTTACTTGCACAACGAGTGGCAGAGGGAATGGACGAGAGGCACAGAAGAACGTTTCTTGCTTGCATTCATACATCGTGCATGCAGTTATGTTCGACTTCAACATTTATGTAGCATTCGTGCATTCATGCGAACGGAATCCGAGGAAGCAGTTTCACTGCTTCCGGAGAAGTTCGTGCGGGTGACGCTGCCAACGTTGCACAAATTCTCAGTGTGCCCCGGCGGGCGCTGACAGGGCCCGGCCAGGATGATGAGGACTGAGGACAATGTGGACATGGAGGAGGACCCAAAGCCACTTCCGAACAAAAAACCAAAGAAAGCCAGGAAAAATGAAGCCAGCGGCAAAGAGAAAGACGAAGACGGTGAAACTGAGCCGGAAGCACCACGAGTGGAGAAACTTACACCGCTGGACAAGGCGGCAGACTTAAGGGGGCGGGCCCTCTCGAAGGCCAACCACGCTGGCTCGATGCGCAAGCAGTTGAAAGGAGTCAGCTATGCGACTGAATGCCTCAAGGAGATGACCAACTTCGAGCAGGAGTTCCAGTGCCTTGGCTGCATTGATACCTACTAGATTGTTTTATGAGCCTCTGCCCCACAGGGCAGGCTACCCTGGTCTAGCCATATGAACAAGAAGTCTTGACAGACGCTCATGTGGCCCCAACCCAGTACTATACGGCCAAGGGCGATCTACGACCAGGTGGACAAGCTCATCTCTGAGCTGGTCCACGATGATGGGGTCTATCTTCCCATTGCTACCAGATATCTCGATATCGCGAAGCGTTATGAGAGGCCCAGCAAGGTAGCAAACAGCTTGATCCGAGCTGCGAAGGCGACTCCGAAGGATCCAACCGCGCCCAAAGGATCGGCTAAAGCCAAGTCCAAGAAGCGCAAAGCCGCGGAGGGAGCCTAGAAAGAATCTTGGCACCCGGGGTCGGTGCTCAGATGGGCATGTCGTGCTGTTCACGTATATTAGAATATATTAGAATACTCCAAGGTTACTGGTAACAGATCCATCTGGATTTTGCACATCTCATTTTCTTCCAGTGTCCGACACTGATAACGTACAGTTGGTGTAGGGTCCTCGCCCAAGGGCTCGAGGACCCAAGCCAGTGCTCTCGACTTTCACAATCCTTGGGGAATCGATCGTCGCTCTGGTGCCAAAAATTGCTTGCTGCAGATGCCCTGACGGGGTTTCACGTGATGGGGTGGAAGGAATGAAAAACATTGTTGCCAGGTACGTGCCCTTGACAGAGTCTGGTCGGCCTGCCTTTACGACACGTCGTCGTGGGATGCTGCTGGGACCGCAATATATGCAATAAGCATAAACACGCCACTGGAGCAAGGACCGCAGATGACTTTGACTCCGCTGGTGCAGCTTTACTGGCCCAGCGCATGGGTGCTGGAGACTCTTGACTTGGATGTATCCAAGCACGTCAGCTATATAGTCCGTGTGCAACACTCTTGGACCTTGCAGCCAGAACACACATTCTGAGGCGATACCTGTGGCCGAAACAAGCAGAATAGCATCTGCCTTCCGGCGAGATGGGGCATCTGGATTTGCCCTTTCACAAATGGCAAGCAGCGAACGGGAGAGGGATTTCTTCCGCTGGATGAAGTTACCCATCCAGCCCCTGCTGGTGGATTTGCCTGTGTGGAGCAACACCAAAGAACGCAAGGACAAACAACTGATATTTGAGAAAACAGCTTTCTGTCTTCCCAGTGATGTTCTCTGCGAGCTTTGCAAAAGATCACTGGTGGAAACCTGTCTTATTGGACATTCGCACCTCGGCACGCGCCTGATTGCTTGGTTCATTGTTGGTGCATTTATTGCTCATGGACGCACATTTCCTGCTTTGATATCTCAGGTCAGTAGATGAATGGTGGAAGCAAGAACGGGACCAGGTTTACATACGGGAGATCTCCCGGAACAATCCCAACTACCAGGACATGCTTCCATTACGCTTTCATGAGGATGGTGTACCAACAACTAAGAGCGAAACATGCAACTTCTGGTCTTGGACCACGCCTTTGGCTAGCCGCGGAAGCGAGATCTCTCGCTTCTGTCCCTCGGAAATTTTCGATTAGCAATATTCTTTTAGTTGGACAACAGAGCTAGCTGACCATATACATATATATATATGAGCCCGATACCTTTGGGGTCTATTTAACTAGTTTGCCATATATACAATATAAGATCCCTAGCTAAATCATATATTCCTACATATTATACTACAAGACTTACACTCTGAAAAGTTTAGCATTACTTAGGTCTATAATATTTTTCGCATTATTGCCGACACTACTGCCACTATGAATCCTGCTTAATATACATTGTCACCTATACAGGCAGGCGAATTTTAATAATTGGTACCTGTAGCAATATCATTCCGAATCCTATGAAACAGAAAGCAACAACACTCCAACCAAAATAATCATAGTAAGTATTGCTTACACCTCTGTCGGGAGCGAGTACTTAGTTTCTTGAGCCAAAGTTGCGTTCCCTGCCGATTTCTCGGAACAGAATCTCGTCGAGTTGTCTGTGCAGTCGGGGGTGGCTCAATCATCAGGTTTACTAGACCACTAGCATGTTGAATGTCACGGCAGCTAGTGAGTAGATACTTCGTTTCAGGCACCAAAGTTGCATTCCGTGCCGATTTCTCGGGAGAGAAGCTCGTCGAGTTGTCTGTGCAGTAGGGATAACTCAATCCTCAGGTTCGCCAGAGGACTAGCACGTTGGGTAGCACTGCAGCTTTGTGAGTAGCTACTCAATTTCTTGCGCCAGAGTTAAGTTCTGTGCGGAGTAATAATAATATAGCACTACAACACTGCGGTCAACAAAGTGATCCCGTGTGTGTAGGCAAGAATACTGAGAAACGGCACAAGACGTGGTCCTGCACCCGGGGCATGTGTGAACTATATAACGCCCGAGCTGCCCGACCTCGTCTGCTTGCTGTCATCGTGCAGCCTGGAGATCGTCTCTACCATCCTCCGGTAGTAATAGTAGTAACGACGAAGCTAGCCGAGCGACGACGTGCGGAGCAACACAACAACAGCTAGCATGGACAGCTTCTCTCTTTTTCATGGATGAAGCAAATATCCCAGTTAGCCTGTAGATCGTTTGTAGCTTTCGGCTAACCGATCCCCTGTGTGGGAAGGGTGGGTACTTCAAGTTTACAGCCTTTTGATGAACTTATCCAAAGTGGCCGCGCGGATGTAAAGCTTCGTAGCTGTATAAGTCAAGTTATCTGGTTCTTCAGACGTGTCCTGCAGACATGTTGTCCTGTCGAGCGACGATAGCAGGCGAACTTCGTTCTAGCCCAGATACTTGCAATATCTCCAAGTAGCAAGAGGGATGGATGGCCTAGCGCACACAGTCGTAGCTCGTACATCGTCACAAGTGTTAAATCTAGTCTCCAGTCTCTAATAATCAGAACAACTTCACACAGATCAGTCCCAGGTGCCGGGCCTCCTCAGATGAATGCAGCCCATCACCTGGCACAGACATGTATAACAATGTTGGAACACGCATAGCGTTGGGTAGCAGAATCACGGCAATCTCGTTGGATGCAGCTTCTTTTTGTTCCCAATGCGCGTCGGGAAGATGCACAAAAAAAGCTTTAGTCAGAGCCAGACTGTTTCACACCTGCTGTACGTAATGTGTGCATGCGTCTGACTGACAAAGGAGTCACACGCCCTCGCCTCTTCTGAGGCTTGGAAGATTTCGCAGCGGGCTTCTTCATAGTCTTCATAGCCCAGTTCCGCACCAATTTGACTTCGGATTGCCTGGACTTGGCAAGTTGAAGTCGAGCTTTGCTCTGCACTCCATCCGTGTGCTGCTCGCTGCACCACGCATCCCATTCGGGTACGCTCCACAGCGACTCATGCAGCGATCTACCTATCAGCATGTTGGCACTAACCACATGCGACATAGGATGCTCTGTCGCGAGGTAGTGAGTGAGCATCTTGATATACTTGAAATAACGAAGCTTCAAAGCGAGTGTGGACCGGTGCATCACGTTAATGCTCCGCGTCCATGAGTTAACTTCTGCGTGCAAGGCCTCATTACTGGCAGTGCCGCTCGGAAGGAACCATAAGTATGATGCATGCATAGAGTGCCGCACTCTCACATTGTTCATCAGCCATTCCACCCGATCTGGTGCGCACGCAGACCACAAAATGCGATATATTTCTTTGTTAGGCCCAGGAGCCTTCCGGACGACCTCGCCTTTGTATCGTCGGCATAGGGCAGCAATCGATTTTATGAAATCAAGTCTGTGGAGGAAAGGTTGATCCTCTTGTACATGATCCAGGATGCTGCTGGCGTCACGCTCTGACATGGAGAAATCCAATATCATATCACGATACTTCACCTCCTCCTCGTTCAATGGCCTGGCCATTGCACCGTCGTAGAATGCAAGCCAGTGTCTTGCATCGACCCTTTCGTCGACGGCCGTGCACTTTCGCAGGATGTGTCGCAGCTTCTTGGAGCCAGGACTCTTCTTATTCCAGAACCCGTACTCATATACAATGGCAAGATGAATGGGGTCCAGCATGAGCGCTCGCAAATTCGGGCATACAGACCGTAATTCTGTATACAGCTTTTCCGATGGACTGTCTGTTCCTACATAGTGCACTGAGACGAGTTGAGCTTCCGAAAAGTTATCCGAGATGGCGCCGACGATGTAGTCCGATGATTCCTTTGGAAGAGGTTCCATGAGAAGGACAGCTCCGGTGCGACCCCGCACGGTCAAGAGCCGCCGCCATGCCACGTCGTCCCCGAACGGAGCGTCGTTCCGAACTTGCTTGGAAGCTCTGTAAGGAGCCTGTCCCATGATTTTCATGCACAACTTGAGAGTGGCATCCATGCTGATGTAATGCCACTCATCGTGCTTGGAGAAAGCCGTAAGCATCTGCTCCATCTTGTTCTTGAAAGCTTCGGACGTGGTGATATCCTCCAACATAGGCGTCCAGTGGGGAACCCTGCTGGGGAGAAGTGTAGAAAGTTTACATCCGGACTTCAGAGCCTCGATGTGACACCGTGTAGCCAGCGTCCGCACCTGATGGAGCGACGGACGATGAGACTACATGTACACTTGTTATGATGATAGGCAGAAAAGACTAAGCCGCTGTTAAGAAATATTAGTCACTGCCTCAACATTATGTTTGTTATCCGCTCAGTTGCCTGCGCGTGACCAAGTACCATCTCTCGTAGCAGCAAATCCGCAAAGGAGTGCGTGTAGTACATGTTCTTCACTCTTCTGGCTTTTATTGTTGTACCGATACTTTCCAGATTCACATACCGAGGACCAGTGGCATCCAAGATCAATCGTATTTTTTTGTCGATGGAGTTGCGGTTAGACTCCAGTGATGGCTGGATGGTGGCTCGCAACAACGATGCACTGGATTGTAGAAGCTCTTCCACTCTGCTTTGTGATGAAGCACCATGGTCGTACAGTGACAGGATGACTTTGATCTGCTTCGTACCAGAACAGACGTACTGATTCTTCTCGGTGTGGTGGTTGGTCATGTGTGTCCGTAGTTGTCGCAGTTGAGCAAATGAACGAAACAAACAAAATGGACAATGTCTCCGACCGCCCTGTCGAAGCGAATTTTCCTTCAACTTGTCCAGAACGTCCTCCACTTCTTGACAGAGTGACTGAAGAATCCCGTCAGATATGACAGGAGTGTTTTCGTCTTCATCATCGTGTGTTATTTTTCCAAAGCCCTTGTCGATGTCCATGTCTGTCTCCTCGTCGGATGTGCCAGAGGTAGCACCTGCGACCAAGTCCAACAACAATGTAGACTTGTCATCGAGCTTATCTTTCGCGTCGCGTTTCCAATGTGAAACGACAGTTGATCGATCCACAGCTGCAGCACAAGCTTCCTGGAAGGCACCTACGGGAATCTTGTATACGACGTTGCCATCGATCAAGGTAGCTGTGTCGCCTTCCAGCCGGACCGACAGGCAATGTGGCGATCCGTTCCCTTCGTAATGCAACAGAAAGGTTTTCACATGGGGCTGGGGCAGACCAAGACAGCTTACGATGTCGAGACCACACATGGTGGCAACCGAACGATAGGTTCTGTACCTGGTTTTCTTGGCCTCTGCATTTTCTGCCTTGTCATCGTCAAGTACTGCAGCGGCCACAGTCGTTCTGGACAAGGGATCCGAATGCCACAAACTGCATGGAATGCAATTGCCAGCTTCCAGAAGCTTTGCGGGCACGTTCGTCAGGTTGTTCGCAACGTTTCCACGAGTTTGAATTAGATCTATTAACGATCCATGTGTCTTAACCATGATCTTCACGTCGAAGGAAGTCCTGTCTTTGACGGCGGCTTGGCATTTCCGAATGTAGTCCTCCGAGTTCTGAACCTTGTCAGCCGACACCCGGATGCCGTCGAAGTGCAGCGACAAGTGCTTGGGATTGTCCATCAGAACGTGCTCGGACCAAGCCTGGAGGATACTGTCTTCGACTGCATGCCACATGAGAGACATGATGGTGGCAGAAGGGAAAGACTTCAGCTTGTTGTCGGCCAAGCTCATGTAGTCGTCGTGAAGAATATTGCACGCCACCCATCGAACATACAATGCAATCTTTTGTAGCTTCTTGATGAGCTGATTGTCTTTCAGCTTTTCAGGTGGAGCACCACCGTTGAAAACGGTAGTGATAATGTCTTTGCCTTCGGAAATCTGCACATTCAGCTTGGCCACAAAGTCTGCACGTCTGTGGGTGACTTCGTCAAGTACTTCTGCAAGGTCATCAGCCAAGGGAGGATCAGGACTAAGTTTCTGCAGAAGTTGATGGATCAGCGTCAAGCAGCAGTTGTGGATGTCCAGATCAACGGTGTGACCGTCTACAAGATACTTCTGCAAGCGACGGGATGTGCTCTGAGCACTGCCCTTCGGGCCGTACCGACGACCATGGATGCTGTAGTTCTGCTTGTCAGAATACTTGTACTCAACCGATGTAGCCGACATGGATGATGACGAAACGGCAGCGTTCCCATCTTCATTCACTGACGTCTTCGCCAAGATGCGTCTCTTTTGCGACGATAGCAGAGAAGTCACGTGTTCGGAATGGTCCTCGAGCTTCTGGATGAGTTTCTGGTACTTCGTCGTAAGTTCATCCTGTTCCAGACTTCTTCGTCCTCGTTTTGAAGCAGGCAACATCGCTGTGTAGTACATCTTCATGTTGTCATCGTTGATGGATCTGCCTCCACATCTGTAAGCGTAGCTTCGAAGCCGGCCTAGATCATGTTCTTCCTGGAACTGCATTCTAACCTGGCCCGCTTCAGTTTGAGGACATACTTCGTGAAACTTCTTTTTGAAGATGAACGAAGGAATGATAGCACCAGGTCTTTCTTTGCCCGTCTTCGGCTTCGCGATGCCAGTGCGAACCACCTCTTGCTTGGGCATTTCGTCCCACATGGCCTGCTTCGACAGGTTCGGATGTTCTCCTGCTTTGCAAGGCATTTTTTTGAACTCATAGAACGTCATGACTTCGAGGTCTTTGTCGAGCATGTGCTGTATCACCGAGCTTCTGAGATTTTTCCAGCTGATGTCCCGATCTTCCCTTTCTGCATTACTATCAGCATCGCCATCGAGCAAGTTGCCGAGACCTTCTTCCACTTGCTGATGTCTTTGTCGCACAGGCAAGCCACATGCATTTCGCATGACATCCTCAGTCAAGAAACCGTCTCCACCATTGCAGTAGTTTTCTATCAGCTGATAGCAGTCGTCCTTGCTGTAATCCCGTTCAAACGCCCACTGCAACCGCAATCCTGCAATGGAGGCCTGAGATGTGGACAAAAACTTGTTCAGACTGGGGTCTGCTTCGAAGATTCCGTCCTTCTCATGATCGATGTACTTCGCTAAGAACTTCTTGTGGATGAACCGAGCTTTGGATTTCCACACAAAAGCTCTCCTGAACATCGAATTGAAACCGCTGCTCTTAACGCCGGCAAACTGCATCATGCGATTCACTTCAAGTCTAGTCCATCCGACCGTGTGGAACATGCGAGTGGTGTAGCCGTACGGCTTTCTTCCCATGATTCCGTCAGCTGATATAGTTTTCTTGTAGAGATCGATATGCAGTTTCTTGCTGGTCTCCGGTGCTTCCTGGCCTGTCATAATGAAACATCGTGCAAACGTTTCCACCTGCTTGCGAAGCTCTTCGTCGAGGTGCCATATGTTGGGGTCGAAAAAGGTATGGTTTTGCTTATACATCTCGGATAGATGCAACGAATATAAACTTTGCCCCACTCCTCCAGGTGATATGCCAATGAAGCATCTGTCCACATTGTATCCGCGCTTGGCGATAGCCGTGGCTGCTTGGAAGCACTTGAAGACATCTAGATTGCACCAGAATGTCTGCTGGTAGAACTTCTCGAGACGCTCCAAGTTGTTCTCCATAACTGGATCCAGCAAAGGATGAGGGATGCGAACATAGCAGTTGTTGGCTGGACTCTTTTTGACCACATCGATCGGACTATCTGATCCTGGCGAATCGTACACGAAGCATACGTCGTCGTAGGTGACAGAAGATGATCTTTGGTCTTCTGTTTCGCACCATTCGACCAACAGAGAAATCATCCGAGTCTGCATCAGCTCAGTCCTGATGTGCCATGATAGTTTCCATGACTTTTCTGCCGCGTCTATGGTCCAAGTATTGTCGGACGCTGCTTCGGCTTGCGCTTGGTTCGCCACCTCATCATCAGCTGCATCTAGCCTAGAGGGGTAAGCTGCAGTCGTGCTACGCCTGTTCACTGCGTCTCTACATGCTTGTAGGAAATCATCTTCGGTCTCGAAGCTTTGTAAATCGGAAACAATGGCACGGGCGACAGAGGCAGCTCTGCGGCTGTTCTCTGGCTTCATGCGCCGGAGGATGCCTTCCAGGTAGACAAAGAAGTCGTGGACCCGATGGAGCACGGCCTCTGGCGGGATGCCGCCGAATGGCTGAAAACAACCATCGCCATCGTATATGTAAAGGAATCCCTTGTGTACCCTCAAGTGCCGATCACCCTCGACCATCCAAAGCAACGCAGCCGAATCTGCAAGCATGGGCTTGTCGGAGATCTTACCTTCGGTCAAGTGGGCTGCGACTAGCACAAGTCGCCTGATCTGGTCCGAGACGTTTGGGAAATCCATTCTCAGTTCCTGCAGCGACTTCTTCGTGCTGTGCAGAATAGTGTTTGGTTGAACACTCCTGTCGGCTACTAAAACATCCAGTGTGGTTCTCAGAATGTCATGAGACCGCTGAAACGTTGATCTGAATCTGTCGGAGTGTTCTGCTGCACCTGGTAGAAGACGACGCTTCTTTGCCGCCATGCGGGCAGCATCCGCTTCATCTTCGAACATGTCCTCGAACATCGCTTCCAGATCTTCTTCGACACGATAACCGTTTGACGCTTGAGTGTTCGGCAATATCTGAAATGGTTGCGTGAGACTTGGCTGACCGGTCTCCGTCTCTGGGACAACAAGCCCTTCTCTTTGTGGTTGCGGCGCAGGCTCCTGAGGTTCAGGTTGTACACAGACAGCTAATTTTTCGTTTCTTCTACATTGCATCAGAGCTGAAACTTCATCTGCAAGGTCAGGCACATCATCCACGAAACCGTCTGGTAGATACCGTGGATGTATGCATACGACTTTCATGCCAGCCACCTTCACGTGGTAGTACTTTTCCAATATCCACTTGTAGATATTAAGTTGGAGTCTGTAATGGTGACCTTGCGAGTCGTTGATTCCTTGTAGGGGGGCATGCATGGTCTTGCCGTAACTGTTATACTTCTCCTCCAGCTTTTCGCTGCGCTTCCAGTCCAGGAGGTAAAGCACGTCGTTGTTGACGTCTTTAAGAACCATGTCGATCGAACCTGCAACATCCTCTTCCGGTGCATATATACACCACTCCGTCCTGTAGACTACCGCATTCTCCATTTGACTCACAATTCTCACCGCAGCGTTCAGTTCGCCTTGCATCTTGCCGGCCATAATCTGGTAGCCATTGAAGAGGTGTTCTAGCATGGCGTGCATCCATGTGCCTGAGTTGGAGGCGCAGTTCTTCTTAGTTTCCCAAAGCAAGATGATCTCGTTGTCGTGCAGGACGAATTGTTCAATGACTTTGTCCAAATCCTTCAACTCTGAACGGGATATACAGAAAAGTCTACAGATCTCATCGACGTCAGGCTTGTCTTCTTGCAGGAGTGCAACCAGGTCTGCTTGATATCTGAAGTCCAAGCCCTTGAGCATGCCCGCGATAGAGGAAAAATTCATCTCTGCATCTAAGTATTCAGACCGAGGCCATCGAGTACCGTTCTTCATCTTGGACAATGCGAGCAGCGGGTCAAAGTCCTCCGAATACTGGTGGATAAGAGTCGTCACCTGAGATATTGAGCGATGGTCACGTGTAATGTGAACTAAACACATAAAGTCAATACACATCGCCTGGTGCTACTTAGTGACACTGCATCCCACTTTCACACCTTTGTAAAAATAAGTGTGGCCCTCCGCCTCGAACTGCAAATGTGTATCGAGATCGCAGGAGTTGTGACTCGCCAGCTCGGTGCATGGCCGTAGCACGGCAGTGCTGGCCGTGTCATGGTCGTCAGGCACCTGGAATATGGGAGTTTTCGCATTCTTCTGCCAGGCGAACGTACCTTCTTCGGTAATCTCGTCCACATCCATATTGTCACTGGCCTAGTTCATTGTTTCTTGTCGCACGAACAAAGACATGATTGTGTGGGAAACAAAAGTACATGCACTGTTGCACCCAAGCGGCCGAACCCCCTAAGAAGTCCACATCGTGCGACGCCGCAGTATCATCAAGATCGGATATCAAGAGTTCACCACCCGTGCCAGTGCCACGGCTTTCACGGGTTAGATGCCCGACACCTCCACGTCTAGATAGCGCTGGCCGGTTGTTCTCAATCCCGTCTTCTTTGAGTAGTCGCGTCGCAACCCTGACAGAACGGCGCCACTGCTCCCACTTCCTCTTACTGACTGAAACATCGAAAGGGGACGGCCATAAACTCACGTCGACTGCCTCATGGAACGGGATCAGTTGTCTCATAAGTCTTACAAGAGCTCCCAAGTGCTTCACGCCTCGTTCCAGGTGAGTCAGACTTTGATTGGCCTGCGTGTGAATGACGACGTCTGCCGGAACGTAGGGCACCAACTGCCGACTTGTTCGCGTCGCCATTCCGAGCTGTCGAAGCCATCCTTGATCGTCTGCAGGCAGAGCAAACGGCGATGGATACAGATTCCACAGCCCAGGAAAAGACGTTAGCTCATGCAAATGCCGAAGACAGCACATTTCCAGGAGTTCAATCCTTCGAAGAAAGACATATTCCTGAATAGCTCCAGTCAAGCTCTGCAAATGCTCCACGGGCAGGCCTCCGGTGGCACGGTCTGATCCACCCAAAAAGTCAGAAAGCTGAGAAACGCAATTGGGACATCTTCGCTCTGGCGTTTCTTCCACATGGGATGCGCAGACCCACGTAGTGCATACTGGACACACACACCAACGTGGCATCATTATGGTGTGCTCTTGACGGCAGATAGCACACCGGATCGAGGCGTTGAGTTCAATCAGTGAGGGTCTGGCAAGGATTTGTGGCTTTGGAGAACTTCGATGGGCTGGTCCGAACCACACAAAAGCTCTCCTGAACATCGAATTGAAACTGCTGTTCATAACGCCGGCAAACTGCATCATGCGATTCACTTCAAGTCTGGTCCATCCGACCCTGTGGAACATGCGAGTGGTGTAGCCGTACGGCTTTCTCTCCATGATTCCGTCAGCTGATATAGTTTTCTTGTAGAGATCGATATGCAGATGTGTGTCGAGATCGCAGGAGTTGTGACTCGCCAGCTCGGTGCATGGCCGTAGCACGGCAGTGCTGGCCGTGTCGTGGTCGTCCTGCAAATGCTCCACGGGCAGGCCTCCGGTGGCACGGTCTGATCCACCCAAAAAGTCAGAAAGCTGAGAAACGCAATTGGGACATCTTCGCCCTGGCGTTTCTCCCACATGGGATGCGCAGACCCACGTAGTGCACACTGGACACACACACCAACGTGGCATCAATATGGTGTGCTCTTGACGGCAAATAGCACACCGGATCGAGGCGTTGAGTTGAATCAGTGAGGGTCTGGCAACGATTCGTGGTCTTAGAGAACTTCGATGGGCTGGTCCGAACCCCCAAACGAAAACTTGAGATAATGCAGGAGCCAGGCCTTCGTCAGACTCTGTTACCCGAGCACGCAGCACTCCTTCATTGTTGAGCGCAATGGCAAAGAAAGTTTTGTTCCACCGGATCTGAAACCGGTTGCTTTGGTCTGGGAGCGGCGCAAACCGGCTTGCCCGACCATACGGAGTGGGTGAATTGTCGTTTAGACCCAAAGACCAGGTAATGGATCTGTGGAAGACATTATCGATTCTGCAGTAGAATCTCACGTTGCCCCGCCATTCTCTCACGCCGATCATGAGTCCCTTCAGTTCTGCAGGCAGCACTATGTCGAAGTCTGCCACACCCAGAAGTGGTTTTCTGGAGCGGAAATCGAACATGAGGAACGGATGCTGCGGAGGCCGCGGAATTGAAACCGGTGTCCAGTTCAGTCTGCAACTTGCTGGAATGATGAGAAGCATACTCAGCTGCTCAATGTTGACACAGACCCATCTGGCCAAGCTCAGCAGATCCATCATGCTCCGGAGGCGAGCTGGGAGTTGAAGATCTGGTTGGTCAATGTCAACGACCAAACCTTGCCAGTTCTTCTTATCTCGAACCATGTTCAGCGTCCAAGAAGAGACTGTAGCAAGTGCATGGAGGTATGCATGGTCGAAGTAAAAGGACGGTAAGTGTCTCATCACTTCCACAGGCAGAAAAACAGATATCGCGCTGGCTCTAGTCTCACTCCCACAAGTATCATCTTCGATGCCCTCACTGGACCCACCACAGCGATCCATGTCAGCTACGATATACGAGGCGTCTGCACATACGACATCTGACTGCCATGTAAGATTCTCTGCAAGCTGATCATGGAATGCGGGGTCCCAAGACCTAGAACTTTCGGAACCATCGGTATCAGAGTCGTTGTCGCACAATACTTCATCTCCAGAAGAGAAGCCATCCAAACAGCAATTGTCAATGACGAGCCGATCGCCTCAGGGTCTTCACATGCACAGGGAGATATCACTAGACATAATCTAATGTCTGAGCAACATCACAAGATACGGTGTTGCGAAAAGGAACAATATAATATAGATTCATCCCAGGGGCATGTAAGACTCTCTGTAAGCTGACCATGGAATGGAGGGTCCCAAAACCCAGAGCTTTCGGAACCATCAGTATAATCAGATTCGCTGTCCGATGATACTTCAATCTCAGCAAAGAAGCCATCATCGTCTGACTCTCCGGCAGTGATCCCTGCAAGCTGTAAGCGGCGCTGAGTTGCCATCAAGGTCCGAAGTGGTTGGGGCTCACGTAGGAAGTGATTGTCTTCTGGCTGCTGGAACTGTAGCGAAGTCCATGAGTCCAGAATGTCAACGGCTGCGCTGTCGATGGTTTTGCCGCCCACACAATCGAGATGAAACGAGGTAGATGAGCACGTATCTGCAAAGCCGTAACCAAACGGCGTAAGTTTGAAGACTGCCTTGAAATGAAAATCCAGCAATGATTGCAGGCTCGTCATCATATTGTCTGCTGTGCGATGGGTCCTGGTTAGTGTCATAGTTCCATCTGAGTAAATGCGCAAGCCCTGGAAGTGTCCGTCACTATAGAGGATGTAGCGGCCCGGCAACGTAAAGTCAGGATTGATGTCACGTGCGATGGTATACCTTACGAACCACACAGACGCATCAACAGTCGTGGCATGACGCTAAACTCGCATGGTCTATCGATCCCAGCCACTCGAAGGGTTTCAGCATAGCAGACCCGTCGCGGATAGCCCAGAAAGGACCGCTGGTTGTATATGGGATCTTGATGCCCAGAGCACGACACGCATCTACTAGGCAGGTATCCACGAACCGAGCATCGCCTGCAGCTTCAGACAACATGAAAATCTTTCTTAAGTACAGAGAAGAATCTGTCTATGAGACATACTACATTTCTTCCTGCAGTCGCAAACTGGCATATAACATATATTTCTGGACGCCGTGGCCTGTGTCCTTCTGGAGAGGTCGCGAGCTTGCCGTCTTGGCAGATCTGTACCTCTGGAGAATGCAAGGGGCAGGCCCAAGGACTTCGTCGGTGGCGCTTGTCCGCAGCCTCTTTGGCAGGTGCTTGCCAGCATGAACAAATGGAGACCCTAACATAGATGTCTGGCCTGTTCATTCTCGCTGAGGCAGGCCACTTGATGCGGGGTGGTCCTCTCGTCCTCTGACAAATGATTGAAACGCTTCCCCTATGAGCGTTATGCTTCAAACGATAATGTCTGACGACACATGCTAAATTGTCCTTCTCCCACGAGGCGCAGCCAGCACTGTCTTGCTGGTGCTGGGGAAACAGCAATTGTTGATGACAATGCGATCGCCTCACATTCTTCACACGCAAAGGAAGACATCATATAGTGTGTGGCATCAGGATTTAAGTGCTGCTTGCATACGAGTAACACCAAGAGGCGCTGTCGCGCGTTCTCTGCCCGATGTGGGCGAAACTCGACCCTGAGTGTCCATGCAGTGTGGCTTGCAAAAACACAAACCCTCGACTTGCACATCTATAGCCGGGCGGCATCCAGCGTCGGCTCTGCATTCGGCCAGCTCAGCTTGACTGTACGCTTCATGTCTTGCCTGGGACGCCAGTCGAGCACACAGTCCATTGGATGTGCGAGTACAATATGGATAAGATACGTATATGTGCAAACTATTTGCGGCGGAGTGACTCTCTCGTGGATTCGTTGAATGAGGTCCGACCCTGCAGTGCTTCGTTTTCATTCCAAGGTGCGTGCATCATCACACGACATTGTGTTGCTAAAAGAGAACCGATTAGCGATAGATTAAGTCCAGGTGCACCAGCCCGGCGCATGGTCGCAGCCCCGCAGGTGAACGTCATCACCCGGTTCGAATGCGACCGAGAGGATTCCAACCTGTTTAAACATGACTCCTGCGGCGTCGTCCGAAGAAGAATCAAACACAGGCGAGTGGTGTGCCTTGGCGGCAATCGACTGGACGGGAGACCGGTTTCGCTGGCAATATGCAGTCCCACGGCCTTTGCTGAACCTGAGATAAAGAACTCTAACTATACAGCCCTCGCATGTCTCTTTGTGTATGAACACATATATTTCAGTCGCTAACATGCACCCAAGTGACGTGAACTTGGCAGCTGTAATGATTACGGACCGTCCGAATGCCAGCAGTGCTGGGCTCATATCGGAGAAGCCTTCCGGGAAAACAAGCAGACGATCATTGCGTTTTACAGCTTCGAAGCAATAATCACCGAGGCAGGCCTGCTGGATCAAAAGCCATAGTGAATATGGCTGAGGTTCCAGGTGTGAATGGGATACACGGAAAGCTAAGAAAGCTGATGCTCAAGCAGAAAGCTACGGCATCATGCACATGCACGTGTATGTATACGTGTGTGCATTCGTATGACAGCTGCGCCGGCATGTATAGAAGTTGCAGCAAAGCTCAAATGACAGCTTCTCTTCGCAATCGTGTTGAATGATAAGTCGGCCTGGACAATGGTCACCATTGGCCCCCATGGCAAGCAAGCCTGAAAACAGAATGCAATTAATTCTGTTCTACGCCAGCATACTTCGTATAAGTAAATACGGCAAGCGCACACGGAACATAATTCAGTCCAGCCGGTTGCATTATAAGTGTTAGAGACCAGCGCTCGCGAATAGTTACAGGACGACCGCCGAAATGAATGTATCAGCTGCCAAAGCGATGTGTGTGATGTATACAAGACTTTGCCAACGGCATCCGCTACCAATGCCACACCACGCCAGTTCTGTTCAGTCTTGAACCAATACCATTGACATCAAAGCATTCCTACATGTATGACAGCCACTGCCACGAATGCGGAGCATTCATACGTGAATGTTGGCCAATGCCATTGACATCGGAGCATTCATACGTGCATGTTGGCCAATGCCATCGACATCAGTGCATTAGTAAATATATGCATCTCGCTTGGTAGGTTATAGCTTCGTAGTAGATGGATGCCGTTACGACGACTGTCCTTCCACAAGCACCTGTCTTCCACACCGCCCCCCGCCTCCAGCGCATCTTCCATCTTCGTGATCAGGTCTGCCCTGTCACGTGCGGTTTACTTCTTATCGCTGCTGCTTGTAACTAGATGCACACAACAAGCTCTCTGTGCGCTTCACTTGTTTTTTTGGGTGCATGCGACTTCGCCGTCATGCATTCTTTTTGGCCCTAGGGGCCCACTCGCAAAAGCCGCGCTTGGGTTTGTGCGCCTTGGTGGCACTCTTAAACCCGCGACGCAGCTGTTCGCATGCGTCGCAGTACCGCGGGTCACTTTGCAAAAAACCTGGGTAAAGCTCGCCTTGGGCGTTCGGCTTACCCTGGTGCAGTGGAGCAAACTCTCCGGGAGGGACAAACGGGCGGTCGTCACCGGTCTTCCGAGTTCTGGTTCTCTTCTGTCCTCCCTGCTGCTCTGGCTTGTCCTCCTTCTCCTTCACCTCTTCCGCCTTCCGCTTCCCCTTGCCCGGAAGTGCCTTTGGCAGTGCCGGGGTGGGGGGCGGCGGTGGCTCCTTCTTCGGGGAAATGTTAAACATTCTGCCAGGAACAGTAACACAGCTAGTGCAGTACAGTTAATGTACAGGAACAGCCGTCACGCACACGCGACGTGCAGGCTCGAGACCCCAGGACACACCGTGCCCAGGAACAAAAGTGTCCGACAGTCTTTGTGGGTAGGAACCCTTAGTGAAGCCCGTTCTTTAACATGGTAGCGGAGCTGCCTCCAGGAACCTCCTTGGCAGCGATGATGCTACTCGTAGCCATAGGAACCATGATGCTCGGCGCCATGGCAGTTTGCCTCGTTGCCGGATGGAAGCAGATGCGCGCAAATGAGCAGATCACCAAGAAGACAGAGACAGTGCTCAACATGCCCACGCTCAGGATCGCAGTCCGTTCAGGAACAAAGTACCACCGCAGAGGTTGTGGACACCTTCGCAACCACAACGTGACAGCAGGAAACGCGCGAGACTTTGACGCTTGCAGCGATTGCTACCCCGACCGAGTGTTGGTGGAAGAGAGAGAGAAAAGGAACATGAAGTGCTACGGTTTGGCAGCATGTATGGTGCTGCTGGTTGGTTTCGCACTGGGAAGCCTCGCAACTTTGTGCGGGATGATCTTGGTCCCAGGAGCAGGAAGTATAGCGGTGAGACCGTGGCAGGCCCTTGGCAACAACGTGGAGACCAAGGAAGAACTTGCCCTTGGAGACGCCTTACCCTCCAAGGATGTGAGCCGTGGGAGAAAGGAACTCACTTACGTGGAGAGCGACGAGAGCGAGCTCATGGCAGTGTGGTCGAGCAGAAGGAAGCCCAATACGCACCGGAACCGCTACAGGAACTACGACGTGTACGGCGAGTACTACCAGCAAGGCTACAACGAGTGCAGCGTGAACCCCGACGGCACCAACGTGAACACGATCAGGAACACGAACGCGTACACGATTAAGGACTATGTGGAGATAGGAAAAGTCATGGTACCGTACGCTTTGTTGTGCATGAACCAAGTGATGAACGAGCTCTACAGCGTCGTTAGCGTGACCGGCGAGTACTACACGGAAGAGAACAGGAACGGCAACCAGAACACCGAGAACCAGGAGAGTGAGAGCCTTGAGTCAGGCTACGCCCCTAGGTACCTAGTAAAACAACAGCGAGAAGTACTGAGGAAAGTTGTACAGGAACATGTTCACAGTTTCGTAGAAAAGCTAGCAACCGTAGGAAAGAAGTTTCACGACGTCGTGCATGTGATAGTTCAGGAAGTCATTTCCAACA